TCCCAACTTCCATGACATCGCTCGCGCTCGCCGCGGTAACTGGACTGCTCAAAAATCGAGTCCTTCATATGACTGGCAAAATCAATCCTACGAGGGAAGCATTCTTAAAGGAACAGGGGCTAAGGTTGGTTTTCTTTGCTTAAACTCGGCTAAAGAGGCTGAAGTGTTTGTTTACGAGTGGTACATGAACATGACGTGCTGTTGAACTAATATCTGCTGAAATGTAAAGCGCTTACACCAAATGTCTTCTGTTTCAGAGTTCTCGTGGAACTCCAAAGCAGCGTGTCGAGGTTTTCGAAGGGCTGTGACGAGAATTTACCTAGAGCGTCTATATTCTTTCTTTTCCTTTTTTCCTCAAGCAACCCTTTCAATCTTAGTGCTCCACAACTTAAACTAAATCTCTAATACGAAAGAATTCAGTCGAAGCGGTACTTGCCGCTTTCTTTGATATTGTACACAGTGGGTCACATATATATGAATGATGTCCTATTATTAGAAGTTTTCTTATTTGTATAGCGGTCTTTCTCAGTTGTGAAACCCAGTAACCTCGTTCTTTACCTTTGCTAGCAGTAAGTTCAAAATGTTACTCTGTTTAAAGAGGAAAGAACCGATTTTCTGGCTTTTCACTCGCTTGCTATTTGTACTCAGCGTGCCTGATGTGACCAGTTGCGCTGAGAACATTATTTCGAATACTTTGCATCCCTACATTTTACAATCTCTTCAGTTAGTTTTCTACGCAGTTGCGAGAATGACCTCAGTGCTTTCTATGTCACTGTAGGCGATTTATTTCGGTGTTGTATTAATGCATTTCTTTTCTTGCACTGTTTTCATTCATTCTGTGATTTCGCTTAGGTTAGCCACGTTGTGATAGATTTTAGTGCTTTTTAAGTTCCCCTTGTGTTGCGTGGATTGAACGATTTCAGAATACTGTGTACATTTGTACACTCTAAGCCGTTGACTATTCTTTTGCTCAGTTTCCAAGTGCTTAATCATCATTCGAGAGATTGTGACCTTACTTATCACTATTACTTACAGATAGTGCCTTCATTGTCACTGTTACTTACAAATGTGCCTTCAATGTCGTGAGTGGTCAGCCTTTCTTTTGTTGATTGTTCAATAAAAATAAGTGCCTCTCTCTTCAAAACCGCAAGGATGTTGGTTTCCAATCTATTATAGTACTTGAGCCATGAAGTTGTTTTCAGCGTAATCATTGGTGAACACGAAATAGTCACACAGCAGGTACTACTATCTGCGGGGTTGATTATGGATCTTGCGAAACACTGCGTTCTTTGAAGTTTATTTAGAGGTAAAATTAATCGATAGTTGCGATTGTAGCTGTGATGACAGCCAAAAGAGCATCTGTTGAAAAATCGCCTGTTGTAAGGAAGACCAAACCAGTGGAAACATCGTCACCGATAATCGAGCCATCGGTAGGTGGATAGAGTTGGTGTTCATTAAGAGAATT